GGGACTGGAAGCCCACCGGCCACCCATCTGGGTGGAGCTGTGACTGGGAGCCCTTCTGGCTCATGTGAAGCAGTATCCTATGTCCCATGAAGCTAGATCAGGGGTTACCCCACACATCCAGAGGCTAAGGGACCAGGGCATCCTAGTACCCTGCAGGTCTGCATGGAATACACCTCTCCTCCCAGTAAAGAAGCCAAACTCAAATGATTACCAGCCAGTGCAGGATTTGAGAGAAGTAAATAAGTGGGTCATGGATATCCATCCCTCAGTGCCTAATCTTTACACCCTCCTGAGTTCCTTGCCATCCTCCAGGAGCTGGTATACTCTACTAGATTTAAAAGATGCCTTCTTTAGCCTGCCCTTAGCCAAGGACAGTCAGCCATTCTTTGCTTCAAATGGCAAGATCTGGAGGTCGGTTTCAACAGACAACTGACCTGGACTCGCCTGCCTCAGGGATTCAAGAACTTGCCCACTCTCTTTGATGAGGCACTTCATAAAGATCTGGGTGAGTACAAGCTGGAACACTCCCAGCTCACCCTATTGCAGTATGTGGATGACATCCTAATAGCTGCTGCTGATGCTCCTCTATGTCAGCAAGGTACTAGGGATCTGTTGGTGACTCTGGGCAGGCTGGGATATCGGGCATCTGCTAAAAAGGCACAAATATGCCATCAAGAAGTGATCTACCTAGGGTACATTTTAAAGGAAGGACAAAGATGGCTCACAGATACTAGAAAAGAAATGGTGCTGAAGATTCCAGTCCCCAACTCTCGAAAAGCAGTGAGGGAGTTTCTGGGACTGGCAGGGTTTTGCCGCCTTTGGATCCCAGGGTTTGCTGAATTGGCTAAGCCTCTCTATGAAGCTACAAAAGAAAATGAGACTTTTGCTTGTACGGGGGAAAGAGAAAGGGGCTTTAATGAAATCAAGCAAGCCCTCCTGACGGCCCTGGCTTTGGGGCTCCCCAGTGTCACCAAGCCTTTCCACCTCTACATAGATGAAAAGGAAGGAGTAGCCAAAGGGGTCTTGACTCAAACATTAGGACCCTGGAATAGACCAGTGGCATACTTGTCTAAGAAACTTGATCCAGTAGCTGCATGATGGCCACTGTGTCTATGGATTATAGCTGCTACTGCCCTTCTAGTCAGGGATGCAGATAAATTGACATTAGGGCAAGAACTGCACATCACCACTCCTCACGCTAGTGAAGTTCTTAAGCAGCCACTGGACCGCTGGCTGAGCAATGCCCAAATAACCCATTATCAGAGCCTACTTCTTAACCCTCTGAGAATTTGGTTCCTCCCAAGCACCGCCCTTAACCCAGCCACCCTGCTACCCGACCCCAACTTGGACGTGCCCATGCACGATTGTGCAGGGATCCTGAGCCAGGTACATGGGCTCAGAAACGACCTGACTGATCAGCCACTCTCTGATGCAGAAGCTATTTGGTTCACCGACGGTAGCAGTTTCATGAAGGATGGGCAGAGGTATGCAGGGGCAGCGGTGGTAACTGAGACTAAGACAGTTTGGGCAGCGGCTTTGCCTGCAGGGACCTCGGCTCAGAGGGTCGAACTGATAGCTCTGACTGAGGCCCTTAGGCTTGGAAAGAACAGACGATTGAATGTGTACACGGACAGCCGATATGCCTTTGCTATGGCACATGTGCATGGAGCCATCTACCAGGAAAGGGGGCTGCTCACAGCGGAGGGAAAAGCTATTAAAAATAAACAAGAAATTCTTGACTTGTTGGTGGCTCTATGGCTGCCTAAGAAGTTGGCTATTATCCACTGCTAACCCACCCATAGCTCTGGGAAATCAGAGAGCAGACCGGGTTGCCAAAGAAGCAGCTTTGAAGACCTTCCAGATTTTGCCAATCCAACTGCCAGATCCTGCCCCCCGTCCTACCTGATCAGCCTCACTATTCCCAAGAGGATATGAAATTGATACAAAAACTTCCCATAACCCAAAAGATCGAGGCTTGGTGGCATACAGGAGACTGTAGAATTATTCTGCCAAACGACTTGGCCAAAGACCTCGTCACACATATCCACCGAACCACTCACCTGGCTACAAGGAAGACAGCTGAACTCTTAAGAAATGCTCACTTAAAAGTCCTGAATCTCTGCCCACTGATTAATACAGTCACCTCTGCATGCCTTAGCTGCAAGCTGACCAATGCAGAGAACCATCCTAAGGAGCAAGGGGCTTGAACGAGGGGCTCTAGGCCAGGGGCCCACTGGAAAATGGACTTTACAGAAGTTAAGCCAGGTACGTATGGATACAAATAGCTATTAGTTCTGGTAGACACCTTTTCAGGATGGGCTGAAGCCTTCCCCACCAAGCATGAAACCGCTCAGGTGGTGACCAAGAAATTGCTGGAGGACATCTTACCTAGGTATGGCATCCCACCCCTTCTGAGCTCTGACAACAGGCCAGCCTTTGCATCACAGGTAACCCAGGAACTAGCTAGGATATTGGGGGCTAGATGGAAATTACATTGTGCATATAGGCCTCAGAGCTCAGGAAGGTAGAAAGAATGAACAGGACTCTAAAGGAGACCCTTACTAAATTAACCATGGAGACTGGTGGGGACTGGGTGGCTCTCCTTCCCTTTGCTCTATATAGGGTATGAAACTCACCCTATCTATTGGGACTAACCCCATATGAAATTATATTTGGAAGACCCCCGCCTATCCTCCCCAGTCTAAGGCCTGAACTAATTGCTGAGTTTGATAACCAACAGTTGCTTGATTCTCTAGAGGGAGCGGCTTGGGTGCATAGGGACGTATGGCCCCGGCTGAAAGCTATCTATGAGACTGCTCCCCCTCCAACCCTGCATAACTACCAGCCTGACGATTGGGTCTACATCCGCAGACACTGCCGAGAGACCTCAGAACCTCGTTGGAAAGGACCGTACGTAGTGCTCCTGACAACCCCAACAGTGGTGAAAGTTGCCACCGGAGTTGCCACCTGGGTTCATCACACTCACATCCGGAAGGCTGATCCACACTCTGATGACCCGGAGGACACTCCAGGGTCAGGGCTCAAGGCATGGAAAGTCCACCGAGATGCAGACAACCCACTCAGGTTAAAACTGACAGTCAAATCTTGAGTCTCTTCTTCTCGCCCTTTCTCTTCCTCTCCTTCCTCCCCTTCCCAGTAACAGGAAACCCGCACCAACCCCATCTCTTTAAAATGGGAGGTCATTGACACAGCTAATTCAGAAATCCTGAACTCCACCACCAAGAGGCCCCTCTGGACACCTGGTATCCTGACTTGACCTTTGACCTGGTGACTCTACTCAGACTGACATGGAATAATGTGTACATTCAGCAGCACCACTTCTATGTCTGTCCTCGCAGGAACTGAGACCCGAATGTGAGAGTCACCCGTGGAGGGGGGGAACATTTCTTCTGCAAGTCATGGTCCTGTGTGTCGACAGGGCACATCTGGTGGTCAGCCCCCAATCAAGGTGACTACATAAACCTTAGTTGCTGTCACGATTGGAGTTATTAAGGCTTAGTTGAGCATCACCTCGTTATGCGAGGGAGGATAAATATTTCTAGAGCCAATGCCTTTCAATGCATTTATTTGGGGAAATCATAAACAAATTTCACACATAACACAACGACAGATAAGAGTACCAGTCCTAGGGCCAATGCCCAAGTGACATCGTCTCAGTTGGATGTGGTGACGGTAGTCTCGGCTCAGCTTGGTTGTCTCGTGGTCGAGGGTCGAGTCAGGTCCAGATGTTCGCGACATGAAGCTCCTCTTTTTTCTCACGGTCCAGAGACAGGATCAGTCAGAAGATGGGGCCGCACAGCTGACGGGAGTTCAGCTCATATGTGCGCCCACGAACTGATTTTCCTCTGAGTTTTTATAGTCCTTATGCATAACTTGGCGAACATATGTTATTTGATAGGTAGAGAGCGGGAGAGAGCAAGCAGCGGGTGGCGCAGATGGAGGAAGGCACCAAGGCACAGATGGAATTCTCAGCAGGATACAGATTTATTTCGCACAGGGCACCTTTCCCTCAGGGAAGGGAAAGATGTCAGCCCAGGGGTACATTCAATACAATTCTTAATTTGTAATTCCCTATTCTAAAGTGTTACTCTGTTATTCCCTCCTCCCCTTGTCTCAAACCTATAAAAAGCTCCCTCCCCCTGCAATCCGGGCTTTCAGCACAGATCCATTGCGTTGGTGAGGTCTGAGAGCCCGAGCTTCAGCCTGAATAAAGACTCTTTGTTCTTACATGCCCTCTGGATTCTGTGGCTATTCTTGGGGGTCCGTTCTCTGGGCACAACAGCATCCTGTCCAGGCTGTTCTTGGGTTTTCGGTTTTTCTGAATAACCAACTCAAACGAGCCACAAGAAATGTATTTCAGGGCGATATGTTTTGGGGTCCCACATAGTCAACCCATGACTTACACTTCATTCAGTTCCTAACAAATTCTGTACAGAGGCTCCATGAGGATCAGTAATTATCCCATTTCTGGAGCTAATATATAGTGAAAGCAAAGCATAAACTTAGGAGTTTTTAGGGTTTTTTGTTGTTGTTTTTAGTTTATTTTTTTACTAAGCTCGAATTGTTTCAGTTAGCCTGGGCTGCTTCAAATGAGAGAATAAACTTTGTTAACCTTACAATTTTAAAAAAGACTAACTTCCAACTCAGACTCTAATTCCAAAAAGAGTAACTTCCACCAGACTGCACTTTTCTACTAAGTTGCCGCCCTGAGGTGTGGCATTCAGAAATTAAACAGAAACAAAATTAGTTTGGTGAGTAACGCCAAAACTATGCTTCCAGCACCACTCAATTTTCTTTTGTCCGGGAAGAACGTGCAGCCTTTGTGCACAAGGCATCCTGGGAGTTGTAGTCTGGCCGTACTGAGAGGGCCGTGGTCCCAGGCGCAGGACCCAATCAGCAATGCGCCCACTGGGATCAGCAGTGCGCCCACAGCTCCCTGCACGGCGATTGGCTGGCGGCTCCGTCCTCCCGCCCCACGTTACTCGGGCTCCAGGGTAGGCTGCACCCATCCTGCGGACAGCGTCGTCCGGTGCTCTGCTGTGGTGAAGCTTTCCGGGATCTTCCAGGGCCGCCATGGCAGAGCCCCAACCGGCGGCCGGCGGCCTCACCGACGAGGTCGCCCTCAGCTACTGCTCTGACGCGGACCCCAGCACCAAGGTGGGCACCGGGCCTCTTCCTCCTCCAGCGGCCCGAACGGACGTCGGGCTCGGGCTGGGCCGGGAACCCGAGTTGCATCGCGGGGCGCTGCTGCAGGGGAGTGGGCAGGGAAGAGGGTGATGGGATGCAGTGGGGAAGGGTAGAGGGGATCCCTTTCTTCCGAAGTTTGTTTCAAAGCCTTTGAACTCCCATGTGCTTTATCTTTTGGGGGCGGTGTCTTGAGGCCAGGCCGAATGAAGGTCAGATTCCATGGCTGTGGGTGTACCGGCCCCCTGGTCAGACATCTAGGGTTCATTAGCCAAAGGTCTATACTGGTCCCTCCAGCCGCCTTGACTCCACCAGCTTCACTCCTGGCTCGAATTCTTGGCTTTTGCTGTGGCTCAGGGCCACACTTCTGCCCAGCCTTCCTAAAGTGTGTGGTGGAAAGATTACAGGTCTTAGAACTCCGACCTGAAAGGAATCCTGGAAACTACTACCTTCTCTGACTTTCTTTTTGTAGTTATGACCTAGTCAGGGGAAGACCTGTTGCATATGAAAGCTTTCACTTAACATGTCTGTACTTAACAGTCAGTGTAACTTTTCCAGGTGTGGTGCCTCTCTAAGCTGCTAAGGTTAGAAGAGGTGGCTGACAGGAGTTTATTCCTGTGTAATCAGTTTCCCGAAACCCCTTTGCATTTGTAAATTCCGTGAAGATTGAATGTGGGCTTTTAGATAGTGACTTTGGACCCTGGTTGTTCTTTACCTCTGGGGCAAAGAGTCAGGCACACTTGTAACTGCCAAGACCTTTGGATCTGGTATGTATTTAGTTTAGTAAAAATCTTAGTCACTGCAAAATTAAGGGGGGAGGAAAGAATGAATTCTCTTGCTCCTCCCACTTATAAATATCTTAATATTAGGTTTTTTGTTTTACACTTGTGTTTGTGTGTGTGTAGGTCTGAGAACTTGCAGGATATCGATCCTAGGGATCAAACTTACATCATCAGGCTTCGCAGCAAGTTTCTCACAGGCCCCCTAGTTATTTTGTATGCTGTAAATTTGTTCATTCCATGAGAATTATTTCATGCAAACCAAAACCAGGTCCCAGGTACTGTTCTATATCAGCTAATTTCCAAAGTAACTGGGGGTTTTAGGAATTGGGCTATTTCAAACATAAAGATCCCAGGGTCTAGAGATGTAGCTTAGTAGAGAACATGTTGTAGCATTGGGTTCAACCTTCAGCACCAAAAATAAATAACAAATATTCCAAAGAGAACTTTAAATGTATATGAAATTCACTTCCTTGCATCTTAATTTACATTCTGTGTTCTCCCAATTTTTCTTGAGGTTTCAGAATGATTGCCTTTTGAGATCAGTGGTTTTTGGTCCTGAAGTACCATGTGGAGACACACAATGAATTATGTAATAACTGGTATATATTGAGTGTGCCAGGTCCTGGCTTGATGTTTTAAGTACATTCATAGCAACCCTATAAGGAAGAGATAATTGTTATTATCTCTATTTTAACAAATAAGGACTTAGAAACAGGTATTGAGTCACTACTTGCCCAAGGAGGAGCCCACACCCTGCCTGCTTCTGAGATACTGACCTAGGCAGTAATTCTAGAGTTTGCCATGAAGGGGAGAGAAACATTCATTCAGTGAATGAAATTTAGCTGGATCACTGATTATGGACTAACTGTAAGGAATATGATGGACACTTTGGGGGATACTGAGATAAACAAGATGAGGTCCCTTCACCAAACATACACCAATTCTAACATGATGGACTTGACATTGATGAACTTTTGACATTATAAAGCATCCTGGGTATGTTAGTTACTATTCTCATTGATGTGACAAAATAGCTTCTAAATAAACAACTTAAGAAAGGAAAGATTTATTTTGACTCACAGTTTAAAGATACACTCCATCATGGTAGGGAAGACATGGTGTAAGAGTGGCTCTAGTGGGGCTGGAGAGGTGGCTCAGTGGTTAAGAGCACTGATTGCTCTTGCAGAGGACCAAAGTTTGGTTCCCAGCACCCACATGGCAGCCAACAACCATCTGTAACTCCAGTTTCAGGTGCACTGACACCCTCTTCTGGCCCCTGTGGCATTGCATGTACATGGTGCGCTTACATGCAGCCAAAACACTCATACACATAAAATCAAATTAATTTTTCAAAAAAGAATGGTTCTAGCCTTGGCAGCAGGAGCATGAGTTATCTGTCACATTGTGTTTGCAAGCAGGAAGCAGAGTGAGATGAATTTGGTGCATAGCTTTATTCCTCCTGCTTATTCAGTCTGGAATCCCAGCCTATGGGATGATGCCTCCCACATTCAGGGTGGGTCTTCCCTCCTCAGTTAAACCTCAGTAGAAAGTTGAGTGATTCTAAGTCTGGTCAGTTTGACGACAAAGATGAGCCATCACAGTGGGAGCCTGGGGGAGGTAGAAGGTTTCCCAGTCGCATCAGTGGAGTGCTATAGATACAGGCTATTCGGAGTCTGGAGACTTGGATTTGAATCTTAACTTCATTGACTGCTGATCTTGGCAGGGCTCTTGATTTGATCTCACCTAAAGATGACTCAGAGAGCTACTGTGAGGATAAAATGAGACAAAATGGATCGTCCTAATCTATGAAGATAGCACTCAAGGTCGTATTTCAACTGTGAGGATCAAGGATGTATTCAGACGATGGTGGTAGGACCATGCCATACCCAAGGTGGGCGGGTACCCAGAGAGATGCACAGGAGGAAGGAAACAACATGTCTTAGCAAGATGTAGTAGTGAAATGTCAGAAAGATGCAGTGCAGGCCATGTTTCAGTTGGGGTCCCATGAGGCAGTGGTAGAGAAGGCTATCCTGGTAGGTTAGAGACAGAAGAACCTTGAATGTCTCCTCTAAGGAAGGTAGATTTTATATAGGTAGTGGGGGGCCATCCAGGATTTTGAAGCATTGTGTAGACTAGATTGGCGGGTACAGTACCTCCTCTGGAGGTGAGGATCCACTTGAAGAGTGCTTTCGGAAGGTGAGGTAAGTGATGTGAAGGCTGCCTTGGGAAGGAGAGCAGGGGTGGCAGAAAGTCTCCCTGTGTGTTGATCATTTGGGTCTTCTTCCTGAAGGCAGATCCGAGGATGCACAGCTTACCCCACATGTTGAGCAGTCTCAGGTGACATTCTTCAGCCTGACAAATACCCTCCTTCCAAGAGGTGCTCTCCTGAAGATCATCCATTTATTATATGTCAGTGCCTTTTGATAAAGTAGAAAGCATCACAGTGCTGACCTTATTTCAAGAGAAAGAGAGAATGTGTGTGTTCATGTGTGTAGGTACATGTGTGTATGTAGGTCTCTGTGCACATGTGTTTGTGGAGGCCAGGGTGCTGGGATTAAAGGCATGTGCTACCATGCCTGGCCTACAAAACAAAATTCGAAAACTTGTTATGATCACTTTTTTCTTATCCTGAAAAGATTTTACTTGATAAGGTCAGGGTACATGTGTATTTGGTAAGGATTGAACCCAGAACTTTGGACCTGTAAATACATGTTCTGATACTGAGCTACATACCCTTAGCCCAGCCCAGTTACACTGATATATGTATATGTAACTGAAATATGCATTTATGTGCTTTGTGCTTTTTTCTTAAGTAATAAGTATAAGAAATAGAAAAATTTTGGAGGCCAGGATGGCTCAATGGATGAAAAGCACTTGCTACCAAGCCTGACAACTTGAGTTTAATCCCTGGAACCCACATGGTGGAAGGAAAGAACTGACTCTCACAGCTCGTCCTCTGACTTCTATAAGTATACCATGGCACACTTAACTCCCTCCCCCCATAAATAAATAAATGTTAAAAAAAAAAGTTTGGGGATGGCAGGATGGCTGTTTGAATAACAGTGCTTGCCACCAAGCTTGATGATCTGAGTTCAATTTCTGGGACCCACAAAGTGGAAGGAGAGAACTGACTCCCATTAGTTAGTTGGCCTCTGACTTACACGAGTGAATTCTGGCATGTGTATGAGTACATGTGCACACACATACACACACACACACACACGGCCTCTGACTTACACGAGTGAACTCTGGCATGTGTATGAGTACATGTGCACACACATACACACACACACACACACACAATTAAATGTTAAAATAAGATGTTTGGAATAACCAGTGTAAAAGAATAGTGATAAAAGATGGTGTTGAGGGCTGGGTATGCTGTTGTATGCCTTTAATTCCAGCATTGAGAAGCCCCTCAAGGATTGACTTTTACCCCACAAGTGGTAAGATTGGATTTTGATAAAAAAAAAAAAAAAAAAATCACTCCACATTGCATTGCAGTAAACATGTGAGAGGCAGAGAGAATTCCAGGCAGGAAGGTTGGGGCTGCACAGTGATGATCAGGAAGGAGAAGGAGTCCCAGAGGGTTTAAGCAGGCAGGGAAATAGGATACTTGGTTGGTGTTGTTTGAATTCAACTAGATTCCATTCAGTTAGACCACTGAGGGAGGAACCGAGGATGATGTCCAGTGTCTGACTTGGGCTAAGGAGGTGTGGTTGAGGCTATCCCTCCTGGAATTATAGGAGGCAGTGTTTATGTGAACTGTAAGAAATTTGATATTCTAACCCAGGTGGGCTTGATGACTGGTTGGAGATAGGAGTCCAGAGCTGAGGTTCCAGGTTTGGGCTGGGGAATGCAGATTTGGGAACCCAAAGCAACCATGTGAGGGAAGCTCTGGGTGTAGTTAATAATAACAGCAGCACAATAAATAATAAAGTGAACATACGGCATGGTGGTAAACACCTTTAATCCAAGCCCTCAGGAGGCAGAGGCAGGCCATGTGAGATGGAGGCCAGCCTGGTCCACATATTGAGTCCCGGGAGGACTGTAACTAGGGAGACCATGTCAAAAGAAAAGAAAACCAAAAGGAAAAAAAATTTAATTAATAAAATAATAAATTGGCTTGCTGTGGGTGAGGCATTTTACTAAGCACTTGAACACATTCAATATACACTTCGGTTTAGCTGT